CTCATTTTGAATCAATAAGGTGTAGAGGGGATATGGTCCATTTTGGTTTAAAAAGATCTTCATTTTACCATAACTACTGGTATTTTTGTCTGTTTCACATTGAAGAACAATGTTTGCCCTGAATCCACTTATATTTGGGAGTGTTTGATTTCTTCTACAGCTCAACAATCATAATTTTCCAACAATTAGGACATAATTTCACATGCCGTGAAGGGGCATTTGTTGATATTGTTCCTACTGTGATGTCTGCAGGAAGAGATGAATCTTTTCTTCCATAAGCTAACAAGATATTTAGGAATTGTGGTGACCTGCATATTTTCTTCTTGAATTACGGTAAGTGAAGTATAGATTTCAGACTAAGGTGTTGTTTATGCTGTTTGGTCTCAAATTGATGTATTGTTTTCATTGGTAAATATCCACAACCAATTAACTTTTTATTATTCCATACAAATTTTCAATAGTTCATTACTTTTACCAGTGGGCTCCCTTACTGGAATTGTTAGTTACAAAGTTGTTATCTTTCAAATATTAAGTCAGTGAAATTATAAGATCATTCTGTGATATATTAACCTTTCATAGAAAAATTCCACATGATAATATCTATTTTTTAACAATATTATCAATATAGCATCCCATGTCTTCATAACTTAAATTGGCAAGAAAAACTGAGGAAATTTTAAAGAGTACCTTTGTCACAAAATAGCATCATTTCAGTGTAAGACTTGAGTTTTCGTTGCAAAACGTAATGTAAAGCCAAATATAACCGCAGTTTTGTTCACATTCTGACCTGTTTCCCCTTCGGTCCGCATAATTTTAAACTTCATTTATTGGGCTTCAAGCAAACGAGAATCAATGGCCTTAAGTTATGCAAAATTAAATTTATTTCCAATAAATAAAAATATATTTCGGTGAACGAACCTATGGAAAGGGGCTATCATACAATTGCGGGAAATTATTCCATGGTTTTGTTTCCTAACATATTCATTTTGGTTATAATTAACCGACTTAAATTCGTGACTAACATAATTAAGGACTCCGCGACGGAGTCGAAATTAGAGCTTGTGGCTTTAAAAAATATGGAAATCATTTCAAACATGTATTACTTACTTTTTCTTGGTTTCATTACTTTCAGCTTCCATCATAGAGTTCCTTAAGAACCAAAGCGAAAAAACTGAATTCAGTTCACAAGTTTAAGCTGAACACAGTAAATCGATCGTGTCAATTGTTTTCACCAAAAGACAAACAAATACAAAACAAATAAAAACACCGTCGTTACACCGGGACTTAATTAAACATATTTCCTATTTTTGGAGAATAGCCTAGAAATTAGCACAATTTGAATCTGAAAAAAAGAGGCCAGGTTTATAAAAGCCGGGGAGAAAACTAACACAAATAAAACTGATCTCAGGAGAAAATCAACTCAAAGCAGCGTCACGAACAAATGGCAACTTTTCGTCGAGTAGAGTTGTTTGGCGGCAGTCTAACGCTTTCAAAACACTGGCAGTATATCTAAAAAAAATGATTTAAGTATTCGGAAAAACCATTCCTTACCTTTTCCAACTAAAATACAGACAAAGAGCACGGCGTTGTCTTGCCTCTCTTGACGTTGTCTTCGCGACGGGAAAACACTAAAATGCCGTCGGGAACGTAACGTGATCTTGACCCGAGGACGTCAACATATTAACCGGAAGTCGGGTCCAGACTATTTCGCGCGGTATCCCGTCCTCCTTTCACGTCGCGTTGTCATTGCTAAATCACTCTATAGCCTGCATCAGGACGCTCCAGAAATCCGCCAGAAGTTGACAACCAAATGACGTCATAAAGCGAAAAAAATGGCGTCTCGATTACTCAAGATTTCCGTCTATTT